TGCCACCACTGCCTGGCTCTGTTTCTCTCCTAGACTGAGTCAATCTCATGTAGTCCAGGGTGGCTTTGAAGTCACAGGGATCCAGACAGATCTCTGCCTCCCGAGTGCTGGGATTAAAGGTGTGTGCCACCACTGCCTGGCCTCTATGTTTAATCTAGTGGCTTGTTCTGTTCTCTGATCTTCAGGCAAATTTATTAGGGTACACAATATATCACCACATTCCTAGGAGACAAAGTCAGTATTAATCCAAGTAGGAGAATTATCCCATGTGTGTGTGCCCATGGTCATTCATGTGATACTAGTCATCTTCTGGCTTGGATGGAGCTGGATAAGATAAGATAGTCTGGAAAGTCTCACAGTTGTGGCCACTGGTCCTGATTGTCACTGGGGCCATTTGCCTCTGACAGTAGAGCTCAAGTTTCTTCACAGGGTCATGGGCTTCCGTAACTAGTAAAAGGGAACAGTCCCCAGGGCATATGCTTCTTCCTGCACCACATCTGTTAACATTGGAAAACCAAGACACCGGGCCAACCAAGTCAGGATGAGAAGGTACCGTACAAGGCATGGATAAAGGAAGCCACGATTCAGTGGGGCCATTATTGCTTCCATCTACCGTCAGGTTCTATCAATGACAAAATACCAGAAACCTGAGCTGTTCATTTTGTTAACCGGATCACTTCTGAAGTCCGTCCGTTGCTTGAGAAGTCATAGAATCCATCACTCCTAGGATTCAATCCAAATGACTAATGCCCCTGAGAAAGAAATAAAGACCATCTGTTCATTGCATTTTTTAATATTAATGATGAAATGTATTCCTGTCTGAAAAGCAGAAGAGGGATAAAGAAAGAAAAAGTACGCATGTGTGCGTGCGTGCGTGCGTGCGTGCGTGCATGCGTGTGTGATGTAAATGCTATCTGGCGCCTCCTAGAGGTAGAAGCAAGTATCATGATGCTAAGACATTTACTTGGTGCCTGGACTTGCTCGGGGGCTGAGACCAGAAGAGCGTTGCCTGATTACTCAGGTCAGCTGACTTCAGGCATACGCTTCCAGCTTTAAACTTCATCGCTCACACTGTCCTTTCCATAACCATGCTATCCAGGCCGTTTCTCCCTTGATGCAGGCATGGAAACTGTTGAGTGAAAGCAGAGATTTCTGTAACCGTCATTACATTTCCCCTCTGTTTCTCTACCTTGGCTTTCTAAAAGATACCTCTCTCTCAGCTCAGGCTCATTTCACTCTTTGAGCCTGGAATGATCAACTCCTTGCATAATATAAGGGTGGCAATATTCTCTGTCCTCCTTTTCCTATTTCATATTACTGGACAAAGTTAAATTACTGAAAATAGTTTTAAACAGTCTTCTCAAAAATCTTAACTTAAGACGTGATTTGTCGCTTAAAAGCCCTTTTTGCATTTTAAATATCATTTGCTCTGCAACTGAATTCTTGTTGAAATAATAATTATTACTATTTTAATTATAAGAGTTCTGAGTCGTGGACCAACTAAAAATGTCTGCCTGTGTGATGGAAAGTCCCGTGGGCTGCCTTTCCGCTGATTGACTTGGCTTGACTGGGTCCTGAGGGAAAGTGTGTCGCTTCATTTCTGATCGAATTCACAATGCAGCCCACATGTCCAGAAATTTCACTGTGTCCACTGAAATGAAAGAGAGCTGAGAGCCAGTTTATTTCCTAAGGCGCCAAACTGGCATTTCCTTCACATTACTGGATCTAGATTTTAATTGTTAGTGTATTTTAAAACATGTATTTATTTCTCAGTATTTTGTATGCTTTCATTTCTCTAATCCAAAAGGTTATGTGGCATGTGTTAAAATTCGAAATCATACTCTATATGCCTAAAAATTTGAGAAAAGAGGTAAAAATTTAAAAAAAAAAAAAAACCCTAGAGAAAGCATGTTTCAATTAAAACTCCACCATTTTTTCTGAATATATGAAGTAAAGAATCAATACATGAAACGGAGAATGGTAGGTAGTTTGGCAACTCCTTATAAAGACATAGCATTCAGAAAATGTCCTAGTTTAGAAGGGAAAAGCAGCCACACGTTTTGAAATGTACATCTGCAAATGAGAACACAGAGTTCGTCACTGCCGCCAAATAAAGAATGGTCCCAGTAAACTTTTACATGATAGCCTCAATAATTTAAAAGTGAACCAAATTTGGAGCATAGAGAAAATTGCTGTAGAAACGGGAAGCTATTTAACCATACGTAAAAAGGAACGCATATTTATTACATGGCTCAATAGCGTTGGTATGAAATAGAAAACTGACTTCCATTAAGTATGCAGAAAAGTCACATATTTCTATGCCGTGAAAATAAAGAATCCTCATGGCCACCTTAATTTCAGAAGTCATCCCAGGGATGACAAACGTTTTTAATTGCAAAGCGCGAGGACTGATTTGTGGTACTGTGAACAGGGCTTGTAAGCAGCAGTCATGTGTCACCGGGACACAGAGCCACAAGCCGTGCCTCCAGTGTGTTCACATTCCCACAGAAACAAAACAGGAAGAGGGTTAGGGAGAAATAAGGCAGGAAGTAGACAGGCCAATGACAATCTGAAGAACGGGACCAACCGGGAGTTCTGAGAGACCAGTTTTTACTCAAAGTAAAAAACAGAGCAGAAGAACATGCAGAACATAGTTGACCGCTCCTGTTCGTATTCCGAGGAAGAAGACAGTACGACGCACTAAATAAACTCTTCACTGTTGGATGAAGCAGGAAGTCCCCACCTCAGTTCTTCTGGCTTCGGTGCCACATTACCTGGAATCAACTCCTTTGGGTCAGAAGTGAATCCACCGACTCAGGTCTACAGACAAATCACAATGCTAGATTTTCTCTGGAACTATTTAAACCCAACAGAATACAAAATGGTGCTCCGAATATTATTTCTGCATTGTTTGTTTGTGTGTATATAGTTCATGTATTGTTCATGTATGTGCATATTGTTTGTGACGGAAGTTTATTACTGAAATGTTTTCAAAGCATATTTACTTCAAACTATGAGCATTATAATGTGGGGTGCATAGCATGCAGTGAAACGCTATCAAAAACTTCAGTTAGGGGCTGGAGAGATGGCTCAGAGGTTAAGAGTACTGGCAGCTCTTCCAGAGGTCCTGAGTTCAATTCCCAGCAACCGCAAGGTGGCTCACAACCATGTATAATGAGATCTGGTGACCTCTTCTGGCATGCAGATGACCCAATTGAAAAGCCAGGTGTGTATATATGCCACTTTGAAGAAACCCACTTTTTCAGGGAGACAGAGAGGAGAGGATCTCGTGTAGGCCAGGCTGACCTAAACTCATTACATAGCTGAGGATGACCATGAACTGATCCTGCTGCCTCTGCCTGCCAAGAGCTGTGACTAGAGATGGCACTGAGAATGCAGCCCCAGGCTTCATGCACGCTACACCACCACTCTATCTACTAAGCTACATCAGCCACTCAGAAACGTACGTGAGGTATGAACACAACTGGTGAAAAAGTTAAAAGCCAGAAACAGTTATAAACACTAGAGTTGGAGAACACAAGGAAACCAGAATGGTTATAATCATGACACAGAATAGATGCCAGAGCAAATAATACCACCAGAAATAATAAAAGCCATTTCCTAGTTATAATGAGGCAATTCATCAAAAGCACAAAAATTCTAAATATTTCTGCACTATTAACAAGGCTACAAAAATAAGACATAAAAAAAGCTGATAGAACACCAAGAACAAATAAATATAGAATTACCCTCATAAATTTCAATACTCTTAATAATTGATGGCTCCATTTGAATTTAATTTATAGACAGATTAACCCAAAATATACTATTCAAACTTTTGAGAAGATCATTTTAAACAAGATTATTGTGCTTGCAACACAACTACTTACAATTAAATAATTTCAGAATTAATTTCTTTTCCCCAATAGCTCTAAAATTCAAAACTGTTAGTGCTTATAACCCAGCCCTGAAGAAGTAAAGGTTACAAACTTAGTGATACGATCACTGGGAATTTGCACCCACTAAATGTTACAGTCTTGAGCTGTTCCAGCTTCAGTTATAATTCCACTTCGGATTGCTGTGTGCAGAAAAATGGGGGCGGGAACAGCTGCTGGAGAAAGGAGTGGAGTAAGGGACATCTGATTCTAAAAATTCTATTCCTAACAAAATGTAAATGTTACATGAGACTCTCGATATATCCTGCGCACTTTCCTAGGGAGAATAGATAAATCATTCTTCTAGATCTTTGGTTTTGTCAATTATATAAAATCTACACCTTCAGAAATATTTCTCCTTGTGCTAAAAAGATGGGTCAGTGTAGGCCAGTATTACTCTTCCAGAGGACAAGAGTTCAGTTCCCAAAATCCTGTCGGTGGCTTCACAACCACCTGTAATTCTAACACCATGGGAACTGACCCCCTCTCCTGGACTCCCAGGCTCCAGAACATGTGCATATACCCATACATAGATACACACAAATACACGTAATCAAAATTTTGTTTTTAAAGTCTTATTTTATCCTATATTCTATTTCATAGTCTCTAAATAGGACATGAATTGTATATAGTAGATAGGTGCTCAGTGAATAAATACATGTGAGCGATTAAATCAGAGACATTGCCTATTACATTTTCACCACTATTCTGTCTAAAAGATCTCTCTCAACTTAAGAAAAAGCCATAATAATGAGTACTATTTCCCAACATATCAGTCACTGATAGTGATGTATTTCTTTCTGATGATAAGCAAGTAGCCAAGTATGATTCTGAAAGACCTTTGCTGTGTCAAAACCTGGATTGCAAAGCTTAATATTCACACAGATTTTTTCCCTACATCCACTTCAATAGGAGATGCAATAGGAATTCTGCATTTACCTATAGATAACCACGCTGAAAAATGATGTACTTTGACCACTAAACCAGATCATGAATTTCAAAGCAAAATACTACTGCCTTTAATGTTCATAGTCCTTTAAATGTTATCTATCTTGTGTCTTCCAGATCTCCTGTTATGGCTGGAGGTCTCTTCGCAGTGGATCGAAAGTGGTTTTGGGAACTGGGTGGCTATGACCCAGGCTTAGAGATCTGGGGAGGAGAGCAGTATGAGATCTCTTTTAAGGTAAGACCGCCAGGCTGTCCTCAATTTACAGGCAATTCTGATAGAATGCGTCACCTGCTTTATGATCTGTGTTGTAAGTTGGAGCTATTCCTCCCAAGGGAACTCATGGAAGAGAAGCGACTTTTTTCCAATGTTATAGTGAGTCGCAGCCATGCTCCATGCAAAAAGAAACCATCCAACTCCTGTTTATAGATGAGCAACTCGGTCTACCTACATCGACTGCTCCCCTGACAAAGGCATTTGTCCTGAGTGCTTACAGGATAAAGGACAGAAGAGTAAAGCTGAAGAAGGGAGGCAGAAATTGGAGTTTTGCCTTTCATGTCCAAACAAGAGGGAGCAATTCAGATTTTGTTCTCAACCAGTTATTCCAAAATTCCGGGAACTGATAATAAATTTAAAATATCAATGACAAATTGAAGAGTACGTTTTTTATGTTTTGTTAAATTTAATTTTATTTTGAGGCAGGGGTCTTGAACATAATCAAGATGGCAACCCAGACTGAAACTATATAACCTCAAGCCTATAGTAATCCACCTGCCTCAGCCTCTAAAGTGCTTAGGATTGCAAGCGTGAGCAGGTTATCTGCAAGCAAGTCTTTTATCTATTTTATCTAGAATTGCCCATATTTCTACTTGCCTTAGTGATCAATTTTTATTTATTTATAAAATTCTGTGCTTCATTGTATACATACATATATATATATGTGTGTGTGTGTATATATATATACACACACACACACACACATCTTATATGTAGACAAATTTCTAAATGGTCTTATTAAATAAGAAACACAGAGCCAGAAATTTTGGTTAAAGCCTTAAAGAGATCAGGGAAACACAGAAAGCCATCAGCTAACCTCACCTCACCAACTCTGCAGCTTTCAAAGAACTTGTCTTCCGGTCTACCCAGGCTTATATGCCTTGCTTTTCTGCCCTCTCATTGGCTATCTTAGCCAAGCTACCTCACTTCCTCTTCCTACACAGCTCTGTCACTTTCTGTCTGTCTGTCTGTCCAGACCTCCAGGTCTCTATGGTTGGTACTGGGATTAAAGGAGTGTGTCACCACACTTGGCTGTGTTCCCTAGTGAGGCCTTGAACACACAGAGATCCTGCCTGCTAAGGGATTAAGGACATGTGCTGCCTGACTTCTTGTTTACTTATAATGGCTGGCCTTTTCCCCCTGATCTCCAGGCAAGCTTTATTTATTAACGTACACATTTCAGCACAAATAAAATATCACCACACTTATACATATACATATGTACACACTTATGATTCTGCTTCAAATTTGTGACATATGAATGACAAACCATAACATATGAAAAAGAGTTAAAGCAAAACAAACTGTGTGAGAATTTATACTCCAAATTGCCTACATCATTTTGAAAATTGGTCTTACAAAGAAAAGAAGATCTTTTTTTCCCTTGTCTTGATGCTTGTTTGTATAGAAGCAAAGTCTGACTCTTGCAACATTGCCATATGGAAATCCCTGGCATAAGTCAGCCTTTGGTGACTGTTTCCATTACAAAGTCCAACCAGTGCTTGTTGTGAAAAGAAACTATACCCTGAGTCCAGTTAAAGTCAAACACAAGAACCCAGATACAATCTTTAGAATTTATTTAGAGTGATTTTGATGAGACTGTAACACTAAGCATTAATAGAATGTTATACTTTTCCTCAAGGAGTCACAGGATGAATATCCTCAAAAGAAACAGAGGTGTCACTGCAGGCCTTGGGATGTCTAGAATGTTCCCTCTCACCCCGAAATGACATTTACTAAATTGGTGCCTTTTTACCCATTCAGACATGTAATTTTGCATCTAAGATGTTTTACTTACCTTTGCAGTTGCGTTATTTCAAGCCTTTGGATTTGCCAATGTCTTTGGGTTCCTCTCTTACGGCAGCAGCTATACAGCTTTTGTGGTAGATGTGCAGAAATAATAATTACACAGCAGCATGGCTACATTCTTAGTGCTATAAGCCAAATGCTGAACTGAATATTTTTGTATTAGCTGGTTTTAAAATATAACCTTAAAAGGTGTTGTATTGTACCATTGTATAGATGAAAAAACTGAAACTTACAGATATTTTTAGATAAATTTTCTTTAGTTTTTTTGTTTGTTTGTTTATGTTTGGGGGATTTTGTTTGTTTGTTTTAACTTTTATTGATTCTTTGTGGATTTCACATCATACATTCCAATCCCACTTATCTCCCTATCCCCACACATCTGCCCTCTGCCCTGGCAACCTCCCCCCTAAATCAAAACCAAATTTAAAAGGAAAAACAAAAACAAAATGAGAGAGAGAGAGAGAGAGAGAGAGAGAGAGAGAGAGAGAGAGAGAGAGAGAGAGAGAGAGAGAGAAGACTCTTGTCATGGAAGCTGCAGTGTGGCCCATTGAGTCACACAATGTAACCTTTAGTCCATTCATGTTTACTTGCAAGTGTTCCTTGTAAGAGTCATTGGTCTGGTTCAAGGCCTCCAGCTTCTGCTATGCCACTGATAATGGGCTCTCACTGGGGCTCCATTTGAGTATTCTGTTGTCCTGTATCATAGAGATCTGCTGCAAGCTGCAGGTAAACGTAATGGAATTCAGCTACTATCACAAAAGCTACTACTTGGAAAAGTCAAGGACTTTTCCAAAAGTCAAGCCATGGCTTAAATAGTCTTGGTGATATTTTAGCTTTTGTATATATATTATCTGGTTCCTAAAATGATTTTTCTTGTGTGCTTCCAAGAACTCCTAACAGTGTATTTATCTAAAATACCTATCAAGCATCCAAGGCCAAATGAAACACCTGTCCCCTAGGTCAGGATGATAGCTTTATTTCTTGTGCAATTTAGGGTGAGACCCTCCTTCCCTACAGCCTTACTAATAGACTCCTAATTTCTTACCTAACCACTTCTAGGAATGTAGATTGAGCACATAAATTCCCTTCTTGATATACTAACTGATCATTAGCTCTCTATTGACCTCCTCCTTTACCACTCCCCTTTTGGATTGTAAAAGAAAGCCTGGTGGTCACTGCCTGAGGAAAATTCTTACCTGTCTTTATGACCCTGTAAGAGTTCAAGCCTGGTGACTTTGCTCTGCCAGAGGATTGCTATTGCTTGGGTTTGTAACTGGATTCCTGAGAGACTTAGGGGAACAGAGAGAATAAGGGAAACAGAGGAGGAGAGAGAGAGGAAAAAAGAGAACAGAAGAACTAGATGGGTAAGAACTAGAGAGGAATGGACTAGATGGGAAGAACTAGATTGAAGGGCTGAAAGAGAATACTAGAGGAACAAGATGGAAGATGAGGAAGAGCCAGATGGGGAAGAACAAGATGAGAAAGAAGGAGATGGGAGAGGAACTAAGATGGGAAGGAACTAGATGGATGAGAACCTAGATGGGGCAGAACTAAGGTGAAGGAATTAAGATAGAACTTAGAGGGGACAGCAGATAAAGGGAGAGAGGCATGAGAGCAGAATAGAAGCTGTGTAGAGAGAGAACTGACACAGAATAATAAAGTGTATGGACTAAGGAGGTTCATGTACATAGATTGATTTCTTTTCATCAAAGATTAAATTATCAGCTGGTTGTAGATTCTTCCCGGACCCTGGGAGGGGACTATCCAGGGGCTGGACCCGCTTAGTCCCTGATAGAGATCCTGGCATTTGGGATCTATAGATTCATCCCCTTTACATGCTCCAACAGTTCATAGATTTGGTAGATGTTGGGGTGGCCAACTCATAGCCCTGTTTCTGGCCCTGGGTGGTAGCTGGGTTGGTCAGCTCACTAGCTTTCCCCCATTGTCACTACCTTGGCAAACTCTCCAACATTGCCTTGGCTAGCTCACCCAATGCAGCCTGCAACAAGGAATGGGGCCAGTTCTCCTGTTCTCATGACCTCAGATCCGGGTCACCCATACTCACACCACCAGGGCCCTCTCTCTTGATGGCTGTAGGGGACATGCAAGGAGGAGCAGAGTCAGCTCCCCTGCTCTCATACCCTTAGGGCTGGGTCACCTGTAGCTGGAGAGCTTCTCTCCAGGTCCCACCAAGCCCCGGCAGTCTGACAGCCCATTTATAAAATAAACATATAGACTCTTATATTATTTACAAACTGTATGGCCGTGGCAGGCTTCTTGCTGTTTTTATGTCTTAAATTAACCCATTTCTATAAATCTATACCTTGCCATGTGACTCGTGGCTTACTGGCATCTTTACATGTTGCTTGTCATGGCAACGGCTGGCAGTGTCTCCCTCCTCAGCCTTCCACTTCCCAGAAGTCTCTTCTGTTTGTCCCACATATACTTCCTGCCTGGCCACTGGCCAATCAGCATTTTATTTATATAGAGTGATATCCACAGCATTTTTCCTTTTTTTTTTTAAAAAAAGGAAGGTTTTAACTTTTATATAGTAAAATTACATATGACAAAACAGTTATCTAGCAAGAATTACAGTTACAATATCTAGTCTATTTATAATATCTAGTCTATTTGTATTTGGCAAAATTAAAGAAGATATCTTATCTCTCCTATACTTGTGAGTCTAAGGTTTCATATCTAACTTACCTTTTATCATAACTGAGGAACAATCTAGTCTTCAACTACATCAAAGACCTCAGAAGGATATACTATTACCTGAGAAATGGGAAAAGGATGCAAGCAACTTTCGGGAGTCTTGTAGGGTAGACAGAGACAGCTGACAGCCTGGACAGTCATCCTAAGATTTTTGTAAAGTTGGGGCATCTGTCTTTAGCCCACAGGCCTAGAGTCTCTCAGTTACTTTTTTTAGTGTCCTGTAGAATGTCTGGCAGTTTCCTCTGTGAAGCAGGAACCTGAAGGACCATTTTGTCAAGCAAAGTTCAATGGTCACCTTTCCATGGGTCCTGCATGTCCAGTCAATCAAGCAGTCCAGGCAAGAACAGTTTCTTGCCCAAATGGCTATTTTTGTCAAGGTGAAGATAAACTCCATACGGAGTGTCTTTGATGACCATTCTCCTCCCTGAAGTAAATCA